ACGACGAACAAGCAACTGAATATTTATATATGACCAACTATCAAGATGCCTCAGGGAACAATAGCTAATGATGAGAATGCAATTTAGTGAGTGATTCTAAAATTTACGAATTATGTGGCTTACCTGAGTGCATTCATATGTATCAGCATTGGCTGCAGCAGCCGCAGAGGAGTCTCCTGCAGCCACTGCAGCCTCCGCAGCAGCTGCTTGGGGGTAGGCTTGTTGTTGCTGCTGATCAGCAGCAATCTCCATCATACCCTCACCGCAATCAGCTCCAGATTCAGGAGCGGCAGCCGCATTGCAGTTCCTGTCCACAATTCCTCCATCACCATAGCCACCTGGCTGTTGAGCAAAATCTGGCATATTCATTTGTCCGACCACGCCGGCATCAAGTCGCTGCTGTCGATGTTGGCGCGGCCGCTGTTGTCGAGGCTGTCGTCGCTGCCACTGATGGCTGTAACGCGATGGAGAATCGACAAGGTCTACCAGCTCCTCGCCACAGGCAAGTTCGGCGGCATCCTCTACTTCTTCGGCATCTGGCCCAGCTTCTACTCCCGCCTCTTCTACCTCCTCCTCTTCTTCTTCCTCCTCCTCTTCTGAATTGCCCTTCCTGACGTCATGTTGGCTGGAGCGTTGACGCTGTCTCGAGGACACCCCCATTAATTGCCGGCTGTGCGAAGACGAAGATGATAGAGCTGCGGCAACCGGCGCATCAGCGACCTCGCAGAACGGTTCGACAAGCCCATTGACCTGACCTGGCTCACCGCGCGACCGCTGGGGACAGGGTCGTCGAACCGAGCAAGCTTCCCCATATAGTAGAGAGGTCACTTTCAAAGAGGATGGTGGTGGTGGTGGCTGTCGCCGACGCCATACTTTGATAGTATCGTCCCGGAGACCGCTAACTATCTTGTGAGCGTCGTACTGAAGGCAGTAGACTCCTTTGGTCACGTCACTGCGACAGGGGATCCGAGTCAGGTGGTAAACGCCCTGGGACCAGTTATCTTCTACACGCTATGATAACCAGATTTTACGATAGAATGATAAATAAAAGCAGGAATCTAAACTCAGAGGTATTCGGAAGGTTATGAAAACTTACAAAAAGTAATTAAAATCGCCTCAAGAAGTGGATGTTAACTAATGTTTAAGTTGTAAACTACTGCTATATTCCTTTATTGTTGAGGTCGAGGCATTTCCTGAAGCCATTTTATAAGGTTTCGCTTATGCGTATAGATAATTCGCGAGGGGCAAAACTATAAGCGGCATTAGACATGACAAGGCAGTCGCTGACGATTTATGGATGCAGTAGAAATAATAAAGCTGTTTTTTAGGAATGTATGATGACGCTAGCGGCCCATAAAATTGATTAAAGAACATAGTTGTTGAGTATAAAGAGGATAAAAACTATCTCCACTAATGCAGTTTGCAGAACAAGTTGATTATCTGATTTTATTAGCTTGAGAATGAAAAAAATAGAAGCTGATCAAATAGTAGAGTTTATCTGGCAAACCAAAAATCAAGATGAACAAAATGACTAGCAATATGTAACAATATATAGATAGCTGCATGGCCATTATCTTTCCTAGAATAGAGCTTTAATATGACCCTTAACGATCTGTCAGCCGAAGTTGTCTGGTAAGTAGTAAATGTCTGATCTTAAGGTAATAAAATAGTATATTGCACAAATTAATTAAGCTCTCTAAAGTTGCTCAAAATCAAGGCATTAATGGCCGATGAAAAGCTGAGGAGACCATTTATGAATGAACTTTGGCAGAAGACCTTCTTTAGAAATAGTAGATTGTAAGGGCGATAAAAATTGGCTTAAAGCTGTGTGATGACAAGGAAGTTTCAATACATACAACATAAAGCCAACGGGATCGATATGGTGCAGAGATAATAATGGATACACAACTTTAGATTATTTGAGGAAAGCCAAGATTAATCTATCAAATTTGTAGACTACAGTCAAAGAATATAATGTAGCAACATAGAAAGCTATTTTACTTACAAAAAATACAAATTCGTTGCATTACTTAAGGCAGAAGTGACTACGTTACATTAAGTTTAAATGAAACTGGCACTTTATCGTCAAAATACAGAAGCATGTAGGTTAGAATGAGTTTAGATCATAATTACGAAGGCTAGACTTGACATAATCGAATTTTATTTAGCTAAATGTGAATTTTTTCGAAAATTAGGGGAAGAATTAAAATATCACAAGACCTAGTTGCTACGAGGTTGACCCACTACTTTAGGTTTAGGGATGAAAATTAACCGTTGGTTAGTTTCTTGGAATGACAGATTATGATGAACTAAAGTGCTCAACTTAGTCAGAAAATGTCATTGCTAAAATATATCTTAAAATGCGTCTCCATTGGGTGCTAAGATATGCTAAATGGCATGACCTAAATTAAGCATAAAATAAGATATAATCTTATCGAGGAAAAAGCAACTGTTGATCCATTAAATATGAGTTAATCAATCATAAACTCGCACTAGGACTGAAGAGCTCCGTCGGCGCTTCTACAAAAG